ACTCTTCTTACATCAATGCAGGTTGCTTGTAGAGTGGCCCTGGCCTTTACTGTGGTGGTGTACTGTCCTTGTGGTGACAGTAGGTGTGGCAGTGGCTATATTACACCACCTTTGCTCTTGTTCTGGAATCTGTGGCCATAGACTCAGCCCCTGGTGGTGAGTGGGTCTTGGCTCACTTCTGCACCTGCTGGACCTATGGGTGCTCCCCTCTGAGGCCTAAGACTCTACCCCAGTGTCACATGTGTCTCTGCTCACCTTGGTGGCTGTCGAGGCTGTGGGTGCTTACATCCTGGGCAGAGGACTGAGCGTCAGTGCCATGCAGGTCTCCGATCCTTAAACATTCTTTAAGAACGTGCTTTCTACTATTCCAAATCATGAGTAGATACGCTGCAATTCATTTAACTACTGCTCTATTATTGGACTTTTTAAAAAATATTATTTAAATTAACACTATAAGCACTGTATATAAATACTGGTATATACATGATTATCTTTTTAGGGTAATTGTCTAGAAGTAATATTACTGAGTCAAAGTCTAGTAAACAAACAGATTTTATACATAATCTCAACTATCTCTCTAGGGAATATAATAATGCAAAATTATAATTTATCAGTGTTTATTTCCCTGCACCTTTTATAGCATTAGGTATTTTTGTTTGTTTTATTTTTATTTATTTATTTTTTTTACTAATCTTAGCCCAATTTTGTAGAGAAAAAGTTATGTCATTGGTTTAATTTTTATTCCTTTGACTATAAAGAATTCAAGCACTTTTTAACATGATTACTGTTCACTTGTCTGGTGAATTGCCTTTTACATTTCTGTCCATATTTCTATTTTGGGATTCATCTTTTATTTTTTTCTTTGTAAAATCTGTGTGTGTTAAATATAAATAACTATGATAGTGTTATATGGTTAAATTATTTTTCTGGTGTTTCCTGTGTCTTTGATGGTATTTTTGACAATGAGAAGATGTTCAATTTTATATTGTCAAACCTATTAATATTTACCTTTAATTTTCTGTAGTTGCTTTTATGTTTAAAAATTATTTTCCACTTAGATATCACCAAATATTTTCCTATGTAAGCTTCATTTTCTTTTCTCTTTTTTAAAGAACAATGATCTAGTATGGATTATTTTTTAATAGTAAGAGATTTTTGTTAATCAATTGTTCTGGTATGTATCACATAATTTTCATTTATTTATTTTATTTATTTAGTTTAGAATAGACTTTCCTTTCTTTACTGATTTAAAATTTCACCTTTATTACATACCTTATTCTTATGCAGATTTATCTCTGGGCAGTTCTCTCAGAGTTTGTCAATCACATGGGATAAAAATGTTTTAAGTATTGTACTTTTTATAATGTATTTAAATACCTGATAGTACAATCTCTCTTAATTCACTTGAATTTTTCAAAGTTGTCTCTGTTGGAATGAAAACTAGTATAGTATAAATGTCAACATTATTGTTAGATAAGGAGAACTACAGAAATTTTGAAATGAAGGAGAGCAGACAGGAACTTAGGGAAAATGTGGCACTTTGGCTGGACCCAGAATGATAAATATGATTTGGCCTGGCGGAGAGGAAAGAGAAGGGGCATTCCTGACTGGGGCAAATAGCCTGAGCAGCACCCAGAATACTGAAAAAGCATTATATAATGGATAATGGGAGTGGGAGGGTGAAAGGGATCTAGCAGTTGTTGAATACCTACTGAGTGTGAGTCACTATGCTAAGAATGTTATAGGAAGAACTCTGAGGTCAACTGAATCCTCATACTTTCACTCCTGTGCCAGTGCATGTTCAGTGCCTTGCTTTCAATCCCTTCCAGTTTGGATGCAGAACTCAGTATTTCTTTGAGTTTCTGAAAAACAATTTGCTCACACAAGAACTGTTCAAAGTAAACCAGTTTCTTGACCTCAAAACCATACATTCCAGGCTGAAAGATCAATCATCATAGGGTGCTGTCCTGTGCATTTTAGGACAGTTATCCCTGACTTCTGACCCCTGGATGCCAGTAGCAATCCTGCTCCCTCATAGGGACAACTAAAACGGTCTCCAGACATTGCCAAATGTCAAGTTGGGGACAAAATCGACTCAAGTTGAGGAATACAGATTACAACAAAGATAGGAAAGTTGACAGGGGTGGGGTTAGATTGCACAGTGCACAACAAATATATAATCTCTTTTTGTTTTCCTTTCTGAAGTGCCTTCTTGGTTTTGCCTTGGATTGAGTGTCCCCCCAAACCTTGACCCCTCCGCCCCTTGACAGTGTTAAGAGGGTGGGGAATCCTATTATGGTAATTGAAAGGTGGGACCTTGAAGAGGTGATTAGATTGCAGGACCATGCCGTAGTAAATGGATTAAAAATGGTGGTCAGGGGTACCACCAGTGGTTTGGGGAGCTTTAAAAGAATAGTGAGGAGGTTCATCTCTGCTCTCTCTGCTTCTTGCAATGTGAGGGGTCACTGTAGCCACCACCAGATATGTTCCCCGGACTTTGAACTTTCCAGCCTCAGAAACTGTCAGCAATAAATTTTGTTTTCTTTATAAAATACCAAGTTCCATATATTCTGTTATAAGCAATAGAAACAGACTAAAACGGGTTCTCTGCAACTAGGTTTGGTTTGCTGTTGTTGTTTGTTTCTTTTTGCTTAATTTATTGCAGAGTTTCTCAGCCATGGCACTACTGACATTTGGGCCAGATAATTCTTTGGGGGGGGGGGGGGGGGGGCTCTCCTATGCACTGTGGGGTGTTTAGTGGTACCCAGGAGATGCCAATGCCATCACCACCACCCGCAGTTGTGACAACCAAACCTGACTCTAAACATTGACAAAATTGTCTCTGGTGGAGGACCACTGAAACAACTATACCAAAGATAGGAAATTTGTAGGGCTTTATTCTGTACAATTCATAAGATATAGCTTAGAAACCCTCTCTTTTTTTTCTCTGGAGTTCCTTCTTGGTTAATATGCAACTGGTTGTTTTTTGCTTATGGTCTCTCAGGGATTTTCTACCTCAGCAATACTGTTTGGGGGCAGATAATTCTTTGTTGTGTGGGGCTGTCCCTACAATGTAGGGTGTTTATCAATCTCTACCCATTAGATGCCAGTAGTTCCTCACCCCTCACCCAAAATTCTAACAACTATTACTGTCTTCAGATATTGTCAAATGTCTCCTGGGTAGCAAAGTACCCCTGGTTAAGAACCATTGTTCTATCTCTACTTAACCTTTCTCCATACACTGGCTCTTCTTTTCAGCCTTTTCTTGTAGAAGAAATGCACACTTTCCTTTTCTTACTCGTAGACGTTGAGTGATAGTTTTTGTTGTTATTGTTATTTAAACATGATTGAGTAGGTTACTTATGAATATTAGAAATTATGAGATTAAGCAACTGGTATATGTCACTCAAAAATGTTAACCATTGTTATTAATTTTATCAGGAGATATTGAGGCCTATATATAAAACCTTTAAAAGCAGATTTTAAACCTCAAGTATCTATGCCTAGACTGTTTACCTCTTTTTTTCTCTTAATTTCTGACTTATTTGTGGTCATAACTAAGGCAAGCTGCGGGAAAAGATAGTTGCATTAATTTTTCTCTTTATTTTGCCAGAAATGTTAAGGCTTAACTAATTCCAATGTTTTCATGAAAACTGAATTTTGGAGTTTATTTAGCATCATTGTGGGGATTTCTGTTTGCAATTGTGAGATGTATATTGCTTCTAAGTTAGGCATAAGAGATAGACTTATACACAAAATTAGAGTTTTACTAAAATTGGTTCCTATGGCAAGAGTGTCATCTGATTTTTGATATTTTCCCCAGTAGATAAGATATATTTTTCTTTCACATTCACTTTTCCCCCTGATGGGCGTATATGTGGTTTTGACCTTATCAAGACAAATTGAATTAAAAATAAAATATGAGGAAAAGAAAAGCAAAGAATAAAAAGAAACCTGCCAGTCACATTACAAAAACTATTTAAAATGCAGAACGCATTTCTGGTCATTAAAAAGGGTGCGGCGGCGCTCCCACTGAGGGTTCGGATCCCACATACAGACCGGCCGCTCACTGGCTGAGCGAGGTGCGGGTGCAACGCCAAGGGTTGCGATCCCGTTGCCGGTCCCGGTCCGGTACGGGCGCGACACTGAGGGTTGCGATCCGTTGCCAGTCACGAAGAAAGACAAAAAGAAAAAAAATAAATAAACAAAATAAAAATAAAAAGGGTTTCTTTGTTCAATTTATTACACAAGGGTGCAGTTTCCTCTAGATTAGCTACAAGGTGTTAATACAAGGCTGGGGTATACAATTTTAGTTAATATCACAGAATTTTAAATAAATAATATCACAGAATTTTAGAGGTGAAGAGACCCCCCAAATTTTTTAATATAACCATCCCATTTTATGAGTGGAGAAATTGAGACCTACAGAAGACAAGTGATCTCCCTGGAATTTCTAACCAATGGTTAGTGACAGAATTCATGTAAGGATATGATTTTCAGACAGTCAGACACATGTTCTCTTGGTTACATCTATCTGATAATATAGACCTGTAGAATCTTCTAGAAGATTTAGCACTTATTTTCTAATGAACTAAAAAAAAAAAAATCAGGAATGATAGGGGAGATATGTTTAGGGATCATTGTGGCACCAACCATTAGGGGTGCTAGGGAGAGAATATTTTTACTGGAATAAGCTTAATAAAAGCTTTGTACACTTAAATTCGGTGCAACTATGTTAAAGCAAGAAAAGCACCATCATTTTTTTCTACCACGTCTTTATGACAGACATGGTTAAAGAAAATAGACTTTACCAACGCATAACATTTAATTTTTCCCCACAAAGTATCTCATGCTCTCATTTTTAAAACATTTTTTTTTATTAAAGAACATATACAATATTGAAAGCTTAGAGTTATTTAAGAATCAGTTGTCTTCAAACTGCCAGTATGTTTCCAATAACTTTCTTATGTATCTTGAATACTGTATATGTTCAACATGCCTTAAATCTTCCAGTAGCTGGTACAACTTTTCAGTGTAAACATAACTAATACTTCTTGGGTTTTCCTCAAGATTTTCCTGATCTTTTTTCTGTGTCCCTTTTTTTGTTTATGGAAGTTGTATCACTTGGCGATCGCTACAAGATCTTCTGGGACACTCTGATTTGCTCTTTTCAGAATTTGAATCAATTCATTGGCAATCTGTGAATTATCTTGAGTGATAAGGGAAATTGATGTTCCGGTCTTTCCTGCTCTTCCAGTACGCCCTACTCTGTGGATATATTCTTCAATGTTTTGTGGGAAATCATAATTATATACGTGTGTGATATCGTTAACATCAAGGCCTCGGGATGCTAAATCAGTTGTAATCAGTATCTTCACTTTTCCACTTGTAAAGTCTTCTAATGCGTCCTCTCGATCACATTGCTCTTTGTCAACATGTATCGTATAACTTCGTATAATGTATGCTATACGAAGTTATGCCATAAACAATCATAGGCTCTTTCAAATAAGACTGTGCAAGTCTACGGACAGAATCTGGCCAAGTCACACTTGTCATAACAGTCTGCCGATCTGGGCGCACATCTAACAAAATTTTCTTAATCTGGTGCTCAAACCCCAGATCTAGCATTTTATCTGCCTCATCTAAGACCAAGTAGGTTATGCTTTGTAGGTTAACAAACTTATTCATTTGCAGGTCATTCAGTCTTCCAGGAGTTGCAATAATGATATCTACACCTTTGGTAATGCCTTGAATTTGTCCTTCTCTCTTTCTACCACCATATATACAAATACTTTTCAGACCTTTATATGAATATTTAGAACATTCAGCTTCCACCTGAAGAGCTAATTCTCTGGTGGGAGTGAGGACTAGCATGCCAGGTCCTTTCCTTTGTTCTCTAGATATCGGTTGACAATCAAGATGAATAAACCCAGGCATTAAGTAGGACAATGTTTTGCCTGTGCCATTTTGGGCAACTCCTATAAGATCTACTCCTTTTAAGGCAATGGGCCATGCCTGTGACTGAATTGGTGTTGGTTTTTGAAAACCTGCCCTTGTTATGCTTTTCATAAGTTCTGGGTATGGATGGAAACGTCCTCAAATTCACAAGCTGGATTAGGGATGGGGCGCTTCTCACCACCTTTCAAGTCATCACACATTACCTTGTGGTTCTCTTTCCTCCACGTGTCTACCTGCAAACAAAATCTGCCGAAATGGCCTTACCATAACAGTATTTTTAGGGCCTCTTCACTGAGCATGGCAGTTCTACTAATTTGACCGAAGAACTCCTGAGACACAAAGCTGTTCATAGTAACGTAATGGGCACTTAAGTCCATTCTTCTTCATCCTGTACTTACTCTGTTGATTTATTGTTTTTAATTTGTTTAACTAAAAGTAGACTATATGTTTATCCTTTTATATTCATCTCATTAGGGTTGGTCAATTGATGTAGCCTATTAATTTTAATTTTAGTGATTATTTTATTTTTAGTGATCATATTATCCCTAGTTTCAAATCTTCTGCCAATTTAATATTCATGACATCTATCTCTCTTCAGACAAAGATGCTGATTAAAATTTGAACATGGTCCAGTATAGGACAGAAGTCTGTAACACATTAGGATAAACTTTCTCTATGTCAGCTCTTTATTGGAAAGAAACTTTTTGAAGAAAAAAAAAAAGGTTTCTGGCCAAATATGTTTAGAAAATGCTGCACCATATATTTCCTCTGATAAAGTTACAATGCTTATTAGATGCTCTCAAAGCTCTGATAATAACAAGCATTGAGAAAATTAGCTTAACTAAAAGTTTCCCAAAGGAATTGGCCAATGGACCTCCTCTTCAATTTTAGAATTTACTTCTTTTTTTTTAGAATAATTTTAGAATAAACTTATTCTTTGGAATACTTTTAAATTTACAGAACAGTCACACAAATAGTATAGGGGGATTCCCATGTACTCCTGAACCTGTTTGTTTCTTCTAATCTTATCATCTCACATTACCATGATATATTTGTCAAATAGAGGAAATCACTATTGGTGTGTTACTATTAACTCAAATACTCACTTTATACCATCAGTTTTTCAATAATGCATTTATATTCAGCAAATAATTGACATATAAACCCAGGTCCATTCCTTGACTTGTGGACAGGGGCTTGTATCCCTTTGCTATAAGGTGACTTGCTTCTACTGTTGTTTTATGTGAGTGATATGGAAGAATAGAGGAAGTCTTGAAAGTGAAGTGAAGGAAGGTCATGTTATTGGTAAAGGGGTAGTTGTAAAATGTGAGTAGAGACCAGTGCACTTTAAGGTGAAATTCACTATGGTGCATTACTGGGATCACAGAGAACTGACAGGACACTTTTATGGGTATTGCAGGTACAGAGAGGGATTGTGCCTTCGATGTCATTCATTACCATCTATGATTGACCTTATCAGTTAGAAAAATTGGTTGTTATGTAAATTAAGGACCACCAGTGTAACATTCTTTTCTCCAGATATCTCTACAGTAGGTTTATCCCTTTGTGTCTGAAATGTTCCCACTCGATATATACCCCTGTGGCTTATCTTGGTGCTTTATTAACATGCTTTTGAAAATACAACACAAAAGTGCAATGTTGTCAGATGCTTCAGGTGAAGTAGCTGGCTAAGAGGTTCTTGTTGGGCAGAAGGAGGCAAAGAAGGAAGGGATTGAGTTTCTGTTAAAAGTTGAGTAAAGTTTGTCTCAAGGTAAGAAGAAAGGTGATGTAAGGAATGACAAGAATGTGTTTAAGACAACCGAACACTTTGCTTAGGTCCCTATGACCTTATAGGCAACAGCAAGAGAGTAAAATACTGCAGGCAGTGAATTGGGCTAATTTTCAATAACTCTAATTTCCACAAAACTCTTCTATATATGAGTTAATGCTGCTGGCCTAAAATATTTTTATAGATGGGATTCCCTTAGAAATAGTGTTTAATTTAATAAACCTTCTTTGATGATCTAAGGCAAACTTGACTTTTGGAATTCCAGTTGGTGTTGCTAATTATAAAAATTATAGTTGATTTTACATCCATACAGCACTTTACAACTTATAAATACCCTGTAGAGATAGTCTTCTTGGGATGATACATGAGTATACTTCCAAAAGTTCACAGGAAAATAGAATTAAATATAAAAGACAATACGAATCTTTTCATGAGCCTTTTGAAGACTCCTCATATATCTGGTCATTATTCTTTTCAGAAGTTGTGATATATTATGGCAAAAGTTACCATGATCATTGTGCATATTGATGTGTTTATTTTGTGCATAGAACCATACTCATACCACAGAGTTGAAAGAAGTGGCAGCAGTGTAGGGTAGCAGCCAAGAACACTGGAGCATAAATAACTGGGTTCAAATCTCATTTCCACCACTTATTCTCTGTGAGTCCTTGAGCAAGTTACAAACTTCTTATGCCTTAGTTTTGCTATATTTAGACTAACATGCTAATACCTATCCCATACACACACAGAGACACATGTAAAGAAATGCTAGTTGGTTCAAAGTAGGAATTCTTCCAGTGTCAATTATCCATGTTACAGGAATCAAAGGTGTTGAGAGATAATTATGGAGATTACCAAACACCTGTCTAAGGATTTCCCCAGTAGAGTTTCCTCTTGTCCACATCAAAATGAAAAAAAAAAAAAATATAATTATTTTTTTTCCACAAATTTAAATTGATCCAATTTAAATTCAATTTAAAATTTTTATTTTCTTCCAGAAAAATAAAATTCTGGCCATGCTGGTCCACATATGATCAGATATGAAATGACTACGTGGCAAACTTCAGTGTAGCCATAGAAAATGTTTGATTGTGTGACAAGGAATTCAAACAAGATTCTAATATCCTGAATCATTAAACCAAGTAATAGTTACCCAATACAGAACAGTATTTGACTTATGCATACTCACTTTTGATCCACCACATATCACACTACATTGTTTTATCTATGGTTGCAGGCAAGGTTGGGGAGGAACCAAAACCTCTAATTCCTTAGGTGTTAGGGAATTTATATTCACCCTGTGTTACTGTGTTCTATTAAAGCTTGGGGCCATTTTTTCAGAACCACATAAGAAGACTCTCACTGGAATTATTAAGAGCACAAACAATGTCAGAATTGGAAAATGCAATTTCCAAGGGAAGCAGCAACATAGAGGGGGGTATAATAATTGTAAGTTTGGTCCGCACTGGGAAATGTCATTTCTGAAATGAAAAACAAAAGGTTACACACCATTGATTGGTTGGCTGGACTGTTAGGATTGCCTAAAAAGGTAGGGAATTATTGGTTTAGATCATGTCCATGGGAGAAAAATGGAAACTATAGAAGGGTATACATGTTAGAGAATATAAACATTATTGATTTGATGACATGGTGCTCCAAAGGCAATCTTTTGTACAGAAATAGGGGGAATAAGGTCTAGAAGACTATAATTTTCTCTGCCAATTTGCCTGCCTCTTGACAATATTAGCTGATAGGTAGCAGTGGGAATTAAGACAGAGTGGAACTCTGATGTATGCTGGATGAGCAGAGAGCTCCTTTGTAAAACATCATGACAGGCTGCTTGAAGTCTCTAGGTCAAGACTGCTAAGTATTATGAGAGGATGTGAATCCATGTTGGAAATATAAGTATACATTATTCAAGGAGCAGGGGACCAAATTAGCTTTTCTTTTCTTTATGGAGGGACACATAAAAATTAAAAATATTTTGTCATTTATAGCCACACTGTAGGACAAGTTAAGTCTCACTTATTTGTTTTTATGGAGGGGCAACATGTTTTGCCTTGCAAATTTCAAGGTGAATTGTTCATATCAATGATTCATTCACTAAAAATCATTATTTATGTTGACTGTGTGTTTAGGCTTGTGATAAAGGAAATGTCATGCTCCTTACCCAAGAGTAATTTTTCCCCTATAAACTTTGGGGCTATAGCTATTTTCTACATTTTGTAGTTGAAACATCCATGAAGCTGAGGACATTGCCCAAGACCTTTGCAGCTCTTGGTTCACATTTTTTTCTAACTGGATGAAACCGTTGAGGGCCATATGTACCTGTCACTTTAACTTTACGGACTGAGCACATTTGGCTTAGAAATGAGTATAAGTTGCCTGAAGGGAAACATATCTAGATATTACGTCATGCTACCCAAACAGTCAGGGGTCTGCTGATTTTATCTCAGTCCCCACTTTAGTCAATTGGTTGTGGCCGCCTGCAGGGTCAATTTGAGAAGGATTAATTATGAAGGCTCTGATTGATTTGTGGTGTCTGTCATAGCTTGGTGAAGGGAGGCAGCATGCCGACGCTGTGTATTTGCCATCACTGTCCTAAAGGAAAGCATCTAACTGAACAGTTTCATAAAAGCCAAGCTGCTGAAAGGTTACATTAGATTAACTTGATAAACCTCCTTCCTACTACCCTATTGTGTTGTTCTCTGGATGTTATGGGACATGAAGGAACCATCAATATTTTGAACATGATATTTATATACTATTCATTAAACAATCCTACTTAGTACTGAAATAGCTCAATAATGTTTAACTTCGTTACAAAGGAGAGAATAAAAAGTTAATGACTAAAATATTTTAAAGGACCCAAGAAATGTGTTGGTCTAGGAATAAGTTTGTGTGTGACAGTGAGAATTCAAATCGCAAGATACCTCATTGGGATTTGATATTTTCAAAGCTTTGTTTCCTTTGAGACCCACAGTTCATTAAAAAAAGAAATAAAAGTGCATTATATGATGAAATCTATTATTCTGGTCTATATAAAGTAGTCATATGCACTAATGAAAATGAGAAGGAGAATGTAACAAAAGGGAAAGCAGAGCTTTTTCTGCCTGGGCTTATCTCAGTAATGATCTCTCTTGGTGGAGATTCATTAATTGGAATACACATTCTGATGAAATCAGACCACTACGCAGCCTTATCATTCCTTAAGAAGAGAGAATTCTTTTCTTGTTGAAGGAAAGACATTGATCCTATTTATGTTTTCATTTCCAACGTGTCTGCTGTGTGTTAGAAAATCATCTAGCATAGGACACAGGAAGAAGTTAGAAGTCTTTTTTTGAAAAATCCCAGTGGAAACAAAGTTTGGCACAATAAATCCTGTAGCTCTTCTCTGCATTTATTTACCAAGAAGTAACTCTGGGGGCCGGCCCGGTGGCATACTGGGTAAGTGCGCCGCTTGGGAAGCGCGGCGGCGCTCCCGCCCAAGGGTTCGGATCCCACATACAGACCGGTTCCCGCTCACTGGCTGAGCGAGGCGCGGGAGCAACACCGAGGGTTGC